TCTAATTTGTTGGTGCTAGTTCACTAACAAATCCCTTTCCTATGTTTATGGGTTGAGTACCCCTTGTACTCTTTTAATAAAATTATTTCCTTTGGCTTTTCAAAAAAAAAATTATATTATTAGTATAAATGGAAAAAAGAGAAAATTATAAATGACAAATGAAAGTGGTAGATGAAGAGACAAATAATTGAAAATATGTAAATGATAAAAATAATTAAAAATAATTGATTAATGAATAAATGTGGTAGATGAAGAGGCAACCAAAGAAAGAAAAATGGAAAAAAAAAAATTATTCAACAAAAGGAAGATGAAAAGTCAAGTGTTAACTATTTAAACTCCCTACATTTTTTCATTGTTATTTTGTTTTAAAGATTTTTCTAAATCCAAAATTTGGTTGCAGAGCATAGTTGTTAGGATTTCTTTCTCTCAATATAAACAGGTATTTGATCTTAACCACAAATTTGTTTTTTCCCTAATTATATTACTTTTTTTTCTCATATTTTGAAATATTTTGTTGCTAAAATTCTTAAAATATTTGTAGGTAAATCAAAGCAAAAATATTTGTAGGTAAATCAAAGTGAAAGATATAAAATATGTATTTCTTGATCAACTTTCTCTTGATAACAAAAATTGGAAGATTAAAGTGCGAATATGTAGACTATGGAATGTTTTTAGTTTGAAACATGACAAAAATCATCTAACTACTTAAATGGTTTTGATCTTTAAGAAGGTAATTTTATGAGTTATTAAATTCGGAATTTTAAATATTTAACAATTTGTATTAACAATTATTATTTTGTTTGCAAAAAATTTTTATTCATGCTGTAATTTGGAGTTCCAATGCCTGCGATTTAAAGATAAGTTGGTTGAAAGAAATATTTATTACATGAAAAAATTTTCTATAGAAAAAAAAATATGAACACATATTGTTGTTTCTTATAACAATTATAGAATCTAATTCCATTTTGATACTATAATCAAAGAATTGAATGAAGAAGTCTCAATGATTCCAAGATTTGTATTTGAACTCACCAACTATAAAAACCTACTTGAGGAGAAAAAAAATCTTTCTGTGTTATTTTTTTATCTTAATATAATTTTATTAAATGAACATATGATTCGTTTTTATTAAAAATACTTTTATTAAAACTCTAGATGTTATTGGAGTTTTAATTGGTGTTGGAACTCTAGAAAAGAAGCAAGCAAAATGGTTGTAATGTTGTTTGCATGGAGTGACATATTGAACATTAAAGGTAATTCATATTGATGTTATTATATGATATATTTGAATTTCATTTCTTCTTAATTGAATAAAATATTATTCTTAATCAACTAATTGTAAATAGTTGTTTGATATTGTTTTAAATTTATTGAAGGAAAAATCACTTAAGCATAACACTTTGTTCTTTCATGGTAAATCAAATTTGAGCAAATTAAATTTTCTAATGACTTAAATGTAGAGACTATTATATTTACATTTATGATGGCAAAGATAATAGAGATACGTATATAATGAAGTTTATAATTTTTTATAAAAATAAAAAATTTTACAAATTGTAACTTAATTTTAAAATAACTATTTTTTTATTAGGAGATCTTTCATTTGTTAAATGGTCAATTTATGAAAATTTATATGAATGGCAATATTGCTGAAATAGCTGATCTAAAAGGAAGTATTGAGTAAGAAATAATATGATTTTATAAAATTAAAATTATTTAAGATATTAACATATATAATTTTTCAATGTTATTTTTTAATGTTATTTGTAGAGAAGTAAGATCAATAAGCCTCAACGTACAACTATTTATAGTACAAAACAATAACAATAATATGAAAAATGTCACACATAATGTTACAATACATGATATGTTAATACATTAAAAGGTTTTTAATTATATATATTTTTTTAAATTGAAGGATAATTGTATTGGTTAATTGATATTTATAGACATTAATACCAATCAAATAAAATATGTTTCATTTCTATTTTCTATAACACATATTTTGAAATTAATATTAATAGTAATAATAAGAAATAATAATACTAATAATAACGACCACAATAATTAAATGGGAGTAATATGCATGTTTATCTAATTATGTGATGCATAACAAACTAATATATTCTTTATTATTATTTTCCATTACATGTTTAATAAACAAAAAAATAAGAGAAAAGGATGTGCCTTTTAGTTTACCCTTAATGTGAAAGATAAGTTTACAAAAATATATAAAGCATTCTTAACATTACATATGTTATTATTAAATAAAAAGTAAAAGAAAGAGAACGTGAGAATCTAAATATTATTATAAAAATACAAAAGATATAGAGTATTTAAAAAACCTAAATTAAGATTTATTACGAAATTAATAAAAAATATAACTTAAATTACAATTATTTTAACTTTTCATTTTCCTTCTCTTCCCAACTTATCTTTCTCTTCTCAATTATTTTATCATTATTATGATGAATAAACCCTAAATTTTATAAAGGGTAAAAAATAAGGTATTGCAATACATATTAATTATTAAATGTATGCTAAAAGCTAAATACATTTATACAAAGTTAACCTTTTATCTTCTACATTAACTTACAATT